GAAACCACTATTCATGTCACAAATGGCTCCTGACTCACTTTGAAAAAGTGGTATTTCCTGATCTTGTCCTTTGAGCAGCATGGTGTTTTGAGTACTGTGATAATATTTATGAATAATCCTCCCCTGACCAAGTCATCTAGGTAATTCTGTCAGAAGAGAATTTAATTTGTACCCTAAATGTTCTTTAAGTGGTCATTCAATACTGCATTCGTCCAAGTTCATACTGAAGGTTCAGTATGGGTGGTCCATTATGTCTTGTCAGTTTTAATTACTGATTACAAATTTAAACAACAGAAATTGGCTTTTATCAGGGTAGGCAAGTTTTGCCGTGAGCTGCAATTACATTTTAAATCTGAAATTCTTATTTCTCTTTCTAGAAAAATGTAATTTGTGAAGAAGAAAACTGGAGATAAAGTACCACGAAATACAACGTCAGCTATCAACTAAACATATGTTGTCTCTCAATGAATCCCTAGTTTGAAAACAGCTGACTTTATTTAAGGACAGGAAATATAATCTGACCATTTGTATTTTACGGGAAAGCTTTTTTTTTGCCTTTTTTTTTTTAAAAAACAGCTAATATTTAAATAACAGATTAAGATTGAAGTGCTGGTTAAACATTGACTTAAATAAGTTATAGAAGATTCCAACAACACCAGCCTTTATAGAGGTTAAACATTCTCAAAAAGACACATTAAGCAAGGCTCTCCTTTGTACCAAAATACAGTCTCCAAACAATAAAAATAAAACCAACTTTTTCACAACAAGAAATATTGAAGATAAACTGCAGCATCAATATAATCTTATAGTTATCACTTAAAGTATTTAAAACAAAATAATATTATACTACTTTTGTTTCTTACTAAAGACACTGCAAAGGCTTATTTATTTATTTCGTGGAATACAATGTGAAGACAGTGGTACAAATTGTTTGATGTACTGTTTTCTATTTATCTGCTCTAACAAAATGAATCTCAATATGGTTATATTGGTGAGCTATCCAGAGCTCTCTAAAATTACAGAGTAAAGCAAAACATAAAACAAACCTTATGTACCTTTAATTGAACAGACTTCATATTATGCTTAACTTTATTATACTGCAGTTGCTCAAGTTAAGCCATGGGGCTAGTAACACTTCATAAAAATGTGCTGGATATTATGTATTTTGAGCCTTCAGTTACTGTGATGGCTATGAAAGGCATGCCAAAGCTGGAAACCAGCAGAGCTTTTCAGTTGGCTCTCATATAATATACATGTGAGTAATAATCTCTGAAAAATGCGCGAGCGTGATTTTGGATTTCCTGCCCCTCAGTCCTTAATTAGGCATTGCTCCCACTCCTGCCTGTGATTCTACAAGTTGGTACCAATGGCAAATGGGTTGAATGAGTGTATGAAGTGTATAAGGAGTGCAGGACTGTGCCGCCTTCTTGGTTACCTTGCAGAAGCCAAACTTTACACACTGCTGCTTAATTTTAACATTTGCAGTCTCAGTGATGTCAACAGGGCTGTCCACCTCAAGGTTCCAGCCCAATGCATGCTGCAGTTTATCACATCGATTGCTATGCATTAGATCTTAGCTCCAAATTGAAATCAAAGTCAGATGAACATACACACAGATGCACTGACACCCAAGTACAGATGTGGCCCCTTCTCTCAATTTCAAAATAGCAGAAAGACCCTTTGAACAAAGAATTTCTTGAAATTTGTTCTTGAGTGCTGATAAGTACAAAAATTACTTGAACATAAAGACACCCAATACCATAAATCCAAGCACCGCTTGTTTGGGTTTTTGCTTAAGTGCAAGACAGTTTAGGAAAAAAAATGGATTATACACTTTAAATTCTGCCTTTAAAGCCTTGTCTAATACCTGTTCTCAGAGTACTTCTGAGGTTTTGACATTTTAATCTATCAACCTCTCTGTGAAGTACTAAGAAAAATGCAAAATAACAAAGAAGCAAATGAGGAAAACATTTCAAATAAAAAAAGATATTTAACATCCTATTAAATAAATAACTTAGAGAGAAATAAAAAGAAATGAATTTAGAACATACAAGCAAACCATACTATTCATTTTGTTAGAACAGTTTTACACTACTTTGCTTATCCACAAGGCTTGTCCAGAAATGTCATTATTTGTGCATATGACCCAAGTGCTTCCAGTAAATACTTGTGTGTCTAACTGTTCATTGAATCATTAGGCTTGAACGAGCAATTAAGGACTTTGATATGAGTTAGTATTCCATAAATAGCATTCCCCATGAAGATCACGCAACAGGTTCTCTTATGTCCATCAAGGTCTGCTGCAGTGATTTAAAAAAAAAAAAAAAAAGTGTTCACACTGGCAATAAATTCCATCCCCTTTGATCCAGCTTGCATCTTGATTATAAGATATGACACCGATCTAAATAAAGGTATTTAATGTGCCAGCAATAAGTACAAAACCTTCAAAGGCTTCCCCTGCTCTCATTTCAAACATGCAGATGTCTGTGCTATTTCTCTGCATTTACACCTTAAGAGAATTACCAAATATTCTTGACATAACAGCCTTTGGTTCAACTGCATCAAAAAATAGTTCCTTCATCTATGACATGACTACCATTGGAAGAAAGTGAGCTGAAGTGTTTTTCCTTCTTGTCTTCTGTCCTCTCTTTGTGGTTCCTTTTCCATTCAGGGCCACAAACATTTGCCTTCCATTGTGCTTCCAATTTAAGGATGCGTATGTGTTATATCCATTTTCTTCTATTCTTTCCTTCAGTTTGCAATCACTATTAAATTCCTTCTGTTAAAAGAAAAAATACTCAAATTCAGAACAAACGTAATATTTCAGAGTTGCAGCATACTAAAGCCAATAGTTTCTACATATGTTTTGAAATATTTCAGTGCTCTGTAACGCTCTTTTAGGATTCTGCAGCGTATTAAAATAAAAGTTCCACTGTGTCCACAGCATTTAAAACAACGTCAGTTAAACTGCAAGAAGTGAAACCAACAAAAGGCATAATTAATTATTCAGCGTATAATTATAGCAGTGAAATTATATAATTCAATCAGAGCTGAAATTAAAATTTATGTTGGAATACGGCAACAACAGTAAATGAAACTCTCAGTCATAAACTCAGAAGTATGAGGAAGCAATCTTGGAATCATAAGTCATATTTCAGTTCTAATAAATATAACCCTCAAATATCTAGAATGAGATTACTGATACCATATGTTAAACCAGTAAGTATAGGATAGGCCTACTCCTTATCTAAAGTAAGATCCTTAAGAGCACACTGGTCATGAAAAAGGTTTTTTTTGGATGGGTGCAAATCACTGTTATGCTGCTATTACAATGGATGTGAGGCCTGTTTGCTGACCTGAAGAGGGACTTAGCTTAAAAAAGAATCATATATGATCCTGTACCTTATTGACTCAAAAAGCTTGATAGCAATTTTGTGTATAGTACCAGGGATCAAGGCTTTCTGTTTTTAAAGGAGAACCAGTTGTCAGCTTGTTAGAAAGAATAAAAAACACATGCATGTGGAAGGATATGGGGGAGACTAGTTTTTCTCTATAATGTTAAATGCACTTTTGCATAGATCTGCTTTTCTATACTGAAGCCAAGAGTACTTTGTTTTCATAAACAAGTAATTCCTACATATAAACCCATCCAATTTTAGCAAGTAACTTATACTGCATTTAGAAGGTTTTTGAATGTGGGACATTTACAACATAATTAAATTAAAATTTAAAATTAGCATTTTGTTGTTTCTGCATTTCAGAAAATAAGATGCCATTTCACAGCTCAGGCAGAAGCATGTCTGAATCTCAAAGTATAATATACTAATTGCAGGTGCTATTTTTAACATGTCTGTGAAGAAGTCAAGAAATATTTCTGAATAATAAAACAATTTTCATGGTACAGATACGAATTTCAGGGACATTGCATATTTTATTACAATGAAAATCCTTAGATATTCTGCTGATAAACACATAGAAAGTATCCACATTATTAAAAAAATTGACTATTTAAACTATTTTACATTTCCATTAATTTAAACTAGCATTTTTAAACTAGTTAATGTTTAGTACTTTGATACAGTAAGAATTTCTGTGTGTGCAATTAATGCTTTACTTATTTGCTTCTCTCCTGGGTTGCAGTGTGGGGGTAGCCAATGGTGTGTATTCTATTATTCTCCACAAGCTGTTGGGGCAGGTGGGGCAGTGATCGTTATCTCCTACTCCTCCCTGAAGGCTCCCTCAAGGGAGGGGAGCCCTCTGTTTAAAGGGCTGTCTGGGACTCAGGCATGCATAGAGTTACATCGTCCCATTGTGAGATACTTCACCCCAAGGAGGGGAGACAAGCATTCCCACATGGGGGTGGGGAGCCAAGCATTCCCACAGGGATATAAGCTGGGGTTTGGACCAGGACAGGAGCCCTTTGCCTGCCGGATTTCCCAGTGGACAAGAGCTACCACTGGACTTCAGGAGGGGATCTGCAGGATCACTGCTCCAACAGACCCATCACTCCAGGAGTTCTGCGCCACCATTTAATCGGACTACTACCAACACCCTGACTGACAGGGTGTCAGGTTACTTTCTGACTCTGTCAGTGGTTTATTTTTGTACTGTTGCATTTGGTGTTTTGTTTTTCCTATTAAATTGTATTTCTGACTTGAAGTTTCTCAGTGGCTTGCTTTCAAACCAGCACAGCTTCTAAGACCACAGAACACATGCTTAACAGAATTGCACATTTTCAATCTCAATGTGACCCCCAAAATGCTCTTTAATTTTAGGATTAGTAGTTAGTTCAACAATGATTGGTGAGGAAGACACTATCAAGAGAAGACTCTCTATAAAGCAACTATTGATATTGCCGATATTCACAGAGCTACATATAGATAATTTAATACTTATTTTCTGTAATACATCACCTCCATCATCAAAGCATTAAAAAGGCAGGTGGCCATCAATCACAGCTCTAAACTGCAGTAACTTCTATTTGCCAGCAGCTTATTTTGTTAAGGCAACCAAATAGTGAGTCTTCTTTTGCTCCCTCATTCCAACCAAAGTCAGTCAAATGGAAAAGTATTTGATAAACATAGAAACAGTCTTACTTAACTTGTTTTCCCAGATGTAGAATTGTACTCAAATCCAAACTTTTACCTCTATTCTTAGATAATAAAGAGAGAACAGATGATGTTGTGATGTGGTTAAGAAGTCCTATTGGCAGAGTCTGAGTGTTATCCAGGACTGCTTTGCTCATTTCAAACAAATTTCAGCATAACCCTGCACCAGTGTCTATTGTGCACATGCTCAAGAGTGTTTTTACAATTTTTATTGGTTCTGGTATTCATATCCATCTGCAAGCTGCCATGCTGCAGTAATATGAATCTAACTGCAAGTCTTGGGAGTATGGGAAAAATAATACCAGAAGCATTCTTGAAATTGCTAAAGTATTATGGAATAGATTTTGATAAATCATTATATTTTGATTTTATGATGTGAATATTGAAAAATTATCTCAGCTGGAATTAAAAAGAAGGCTTTCCACATTCGTATCCTCCTGTCAACACTATTTCTAATACACTATGAATTACTGAAACTTATGGCAGCAGTTTCCACTGATGGTATATGAAATGTGCTTTGACTTCTTTTGTGTATATATAGAGTTGGGATGGACTCCCACCATATCAACCATGGCTAACAACTTAGGTAAGAAAACTTGCCTTTGGGATGACCAAACTGCATGCTATAAATGGAGAAGTGTGAATTGAAAATGGTGATTTATGCTAAAACCTTCACCTGTGAACAGAAGCACACTCATGATCAATGAGTGTACTGAGTAACTCCGTACACAGTTATATCTCTTAACAGAGCAGGACTAAGCACAGATCATCCTGTATTTCTGACCAGTGTAATTCTAGAAATTAAAAATCTACATTTACAGGAATTTAAGAAACATTAAACTGTTCTGGTCTTTCCTTATTGTGATTTTTTTGACACTGTCACAGAGTTTAGAAAGTCAGAAGTAACCTTTTGAATGAGAAGTGACTAGCCATGGGGCAGACGAGGGAGAGCACTTTATATAGTTTGTACGGACTAATTCCACCCTCTGGAAATGTTGCCCTAAAAACAGGCTCAAATGACTTCAGCCCCCTTGAGTCTCAATTGATACTAGCATTACTTTATTATTTTTACCAGAAGTAGGAGGCTTAGCTACACTGCTCGAGGGTAAACTCAGTCCCTATCTGTGACCTGCTTTCTTTAAAGCCTATGGATGTTCTGAACACTGAGGAGCCCAAAGATTGGCTCATAACTTTTCCAGGAACTGACAAAATGTTGCAAAATTACAAACCAAACCAGATGTAATACCAGAACAATCTGGTGTTTGCGTAATAATGTGGATGTGTGAGGATACACTTGAGTTTAGTTGTCAGAATCAGAGATTGTATTGCTTCCTATTAAAAATATTTGGATAGTTACTGTTTTTTCCTGAGTCAGTTTGGTTCATTATTTTGATGTGCATTTGAGGGTTTTTGTGTATGTTTGTTTTGTTTGTTTGTTTGTTCCCTGGGAAAGTATCAGTAACCCCAAATTTATACAAAGACAAATAAAATACATATAGGCAACTTTCAAATGTTACCAAATTCTGCTCAAACAAAGCTTATCTGCTGATATAAAAGTCCATGTCTCTCTGTACTACTCATAATCTTATGTAACAATTAATACAGTCCCTTTAAAGCTGGATATTCTAGAAATCTTCTTCAAATTTGTAGTTTGATGATTTGGTGTGTTTACTCCATCAGCTGAAGTTTCCAAGATTTCAGGTATACTTTATCCCACCCAGAATTACTGCTAAATGTGACTGCACAGCAGAAAAATGGGGAAAACCAGCCTTAAAGATTACATTTTGTAGGACTCTCTCCTTTAACCACTCCATAATGTGACTGAAGCAGTAAGCATGATAAGTCCCAGCAGCTGTGTTGGTATGATATGAGCTTGGCTAACAATAGCAAGCTTGTGGAGAGGGGAGATCTTGGTTTATCAGAGGATGAAATTTTGATGAACAGCTCATTTCAGCTCAGAGATAAGCAGGGTTTTCTGTAAGCAAGACTGGGAAATGTGCTGACGACAGCAGCTCACTTGGAAGGTAAAAACATACTTACAGAGCCGTAGACTTTTCCTTTCTTGTTCATGGCTAAATAGTAGTTGCTCTTAATAGACTTAACTGCCACAACTCCAATTTCTACAGATGTTATCTCCAATATGCCTAAAAAGACGAAAAAAAAACCCACAAAAATTGAGCTAATCAAGCATTTTGCTAGAGGATTTTCTCACTACAGAAAAGATGACAAACCTGAAACATACTAAATTTTTAATATTCAGAACACTGACCAACAAAAATTAGCGAAACTCTTCTATGAACCATTGCAAGAATATATATAAACATTTTTCAATTAACATGTTTCCTTTGCTAACCTGCATTTTAAATCTCATACATGCTGAAATATTTACATTTTTCTTAGCAGAGATTTTACTAAAATTTGTCAGAAAAGACATCTGAAGCACAGCATTAAATTAAATATATAGCATATGTCAATAGAATGTTAGATTTTCCCCAGTCTTCAAAACCATTGGTAAACTATTTATTCCTTGTAGGACATTTAGATAAATCTCTTGGCTGCACTGTGCTGATAAATTCACTTTTGGCAAGTGTGTTGACAATTTGGGATATAGTAAGACTAACCCTAATGGCCACACTATCTTTGTCTTTCAGATATCAGAAACATTTTGCTCTGTTTGTAATAAATTTGATTAATATTTTTCTTTTAAAATGAACTCTTTCTGGGACACTGGATGGTTCAAGAGACCAGTAATGGGAGATACAGCTTTTTATCTCTGTTTTCTGCCCAGAAGCATACTGATTTTGGAGTAGTAGATGTTATTACAACTTACATAGTGACTTTAGATATACTTTTTCAGCTATTACTAGAGTTACTGAATGGCTGTATTGTTTCTCCACTGACTCTTAATACAGGACAAATATGATTTCAATCAATTAACTTCTAAAAGATTTATCCAGGTTGTATGCCTGGCTCCAACATTTTCCTTTTCTCCTGACATATAAGTAGCAGTAGTCAGAACAATAGCTCATCTAACTCAGTCATCACTAAGGGTCTACCAATGGAGAAATTACGGGAGGAGTAAAAGTGTAAAGAAAATGTGAAGAAAACATCCTAGAACATGCCAACATTAATATGAGAGCAGCTGGAAAAACACTGATGAGTTTCTACCTACTTTAAAAAAAATAAATACAGCCATTTTCTCCAAAATATATTATATACTTTCTGCCTGGACAGAGTAGCAGTTTCTTCATGTACTTAAAATTTCCTTATTGTAACCACACAACAGCTGAAGCCAAAAGTGTAATTCTGTATTAATTTTTTTTTTTCTGGAAATGCCAATTTTGCCTTTGAAAATTGAATGCAGTCAGTTCAGACTGCAGAACCATGTGGACACTAGTGTGGAGAGGAGGTGAGAAAAAATCTTCCACTGTAAAATTTTTTTTAAATGGCTGATTCAGATATGATGCAAAAGCCATTCTGAATGGTCATATGCAACTCAGAGACAGGGTGTTACTTGTTATGTGAGTAGAAGTAAAGGCTTTGATGTTAGCTGGGCACTGGCTGTGAATCAAGCAAGAAGCAGTAACAGCTGATTTACTGGGAAGTAAACCAATGACATAGTTCATATGTGTGAAAAAGAGAGAGAACATCAAACTAGGCAATTTAACATGAAAGGCATCCTTTAATTGTCAAGAAAGAAAAGGTGGCCTTTCTTGGATGCATT